CATGGTAATTGTGTTCAGATTATCCAAGTTCGGCTTTGTTTCTTTCGACAGAAGTATACTCACCGGTATGGCTTTACATTGAGTTGGTTTTATCCTATGCTGAAAATTAGTGTAATCGAGAGCACGACTGATTATATCAGTCTTTAATATTGCAGGACCAACCAATTCCGAGGCTAATGTGGCTGATAAATTTCAGTAGCTGGGATAAAATGCTTGATTAACCAGTGGCTTGAGATTGTGAATATGTTCGATTGGATACATGTGTTTTGGATCCTATCTTATGTAGTGTTTTTTTTTTCCTAGCTGTGTTTGAGATTTGCTCTCTTAATCATCATATGTGATCGTATAACTAAAAGTTGCAAAACAACATATAAATCTTCAGTTAACTAGCCATTGTATTATATCAGGATAAAGTTGTAAATTTTGCTGTTCTTAATGCTAGTTAGCCTTTGTGTTTGTACATTGTTCTTTGTTGGAACTATAAAATCTATCGTTTCGAAAAGAAAAAAGAAGTTGCAATAATTGTTCTCCAAATTTCATAGGACTTGGCACACTAGTTGTGTACAAAATATATATTCGTTTACAACTCCTAAGGATTTGAAAATATTGATAAGTTCTGGATTTGGATTTCCATCGACGGAATGTACGTGAGTTACCTATAAAGCTCTTGGAGGTGGGGTGGGGTGTTAGCGTATATTGTAGAAGCTCGACTTTGTGTTACAAACAATTCCATTTTGAATGAGATTTATGTTTTATTGAAGTGTACGTTTGTAGTTTGTTTATTTATGCTAATTTGATTCTTTTATTTTGCATTGTAGATTATATGATTCAATTTGCCGAATAGAGAGACCATATTACCAGTGCTTTGTAAAATATAAGTCATTGGTTCACAATCTAGAAAAAAATGAACTAACTGTCGTGAACGATTGTAGTGCGATTTTTGAATTATTTGATTTTGACTGATGACTCACACTATTACATTTGTAATGTATTGGACGGATCTTAGCGGATAAGATTATTTATAATCAAGTGAATAATCTAGACATCAGTTCTTGCTGCGTTCTCTTAACTTGTAAGATAATAAACGAGCATTTGTACTCGGTTATTATTATTTAATTTACCAAAGAGTGAGATTTATTGTAAATACATAACCCCAATTTGTTGGTAAATGAAACAATGGGTGGGGGAGTATAGAGTACGCAGCTTGTGTTAGAACACAAAAATTCTGAATTACTAAACTGTGTTGCAACACAAGAAAATAAACTTAGAAGCGGAACGATATAAAAAATATTTCTTCGGGGAGCGTCCCACTACCCCTCAGAGCTCTTTCATTGATAAATCGATTTTGCATCCCACAAAATACAGCTTGGACTTACTCAACTCGGACTCCCTCCTAGTCTAGCCAACACTATACCCGATCCTATCAACTACTTCCTTTGCCACGTCCCTTGGACTTTACACACTCGAATCCTCGAGCAAAACTCAGTACTTAATCCCTAAGCACCACAAAAGTGTTTGTAAAAAGAAAAAGAAACAAAACAAACTCAATTCATCAGCAATGTAAGAACGCTGAAGTGCTGTGACGAACAAAATAAAAAGAATAAAAATCTCTCAAACACTAAATCTAATCTTGATAAATGATGAACGATTTGCAGTAGCTCTCTTGTCTTCAATTAATTGTTTGAGTAAGCTTACATACAATCTCCTTAAGGTAAGGAGTCTTCACAAGTTCTTCTTTTGTCTTTTAGGAGTCAATTTCCTTCTCAATTGATTGATTTATGATTTGGACGAAATCTTTCATGTAAAGCAAGTTTCCTTGATGTAGAAATCGTGCATGTGATTTGGAGATCTTCATAATTGAGCTTCCAATGGAAATTTTGTGATCCCATATCGTGTAAGAACATGAATTTCCAAAAATAGCCGATCTTCCAAATCTTCAAAAATCTTGTGGTGAATATTTCCAAATCCTCTTTAAATCTTCTAGAGAACGTCCAGAATTCTTCTTGTGTGAATATCTCATATTTTCATGGTCTTTGCCACTTATTCCTTGTCCTACAAGAGAGAGAAAATTAATTATGGCATAGAATCAAGCTTCTTAATGCAAGTGACATATATGGTATGTGAATATAGAAGATATATATTATGTAATTCTTCTCCTAAAGGATTAGGATTCCATAATACATACTACAATAAATATATACCATATATTATTAATAATAAATATTAATTAAATCACAAGTAAATAAATAGAAAAACTTTCCTTTAATTTATTT